CTGGACACAGTACTCAAGATGAGGCCTAACCAATGCTGAATACAAGGGAACTAGAATGTCCTGGGATTAAGACTACTGCTAATGTAGCCTAAAATAGCATTTGCCTTTCTTTTTTTTTTCAGGCACATTGCACTCATGTTGGCTCATATTCAGCTTGTGTTCTACATCTAATCCAAGATCCTTCTCGCTTGTAGTAATACCAGGGCAAGTATCTCTCCTCTTGTAACTGATCCTTCAGTACTCTTCAATGCAGTCCATCAGGCCCTGAAAATCTGAACTCATTTAAAATAAAAAGATATTACTTGATTATTTGCTTATTAATCTTAAAATGCAATCACGTCCCCTCCACTTGTACCTGACATTTACCTGGAGGGTCACTGACTATCTTATGGAAAAAGACCAAGCTAAAGTATGAACTGAGAATGTCTGCCTTTTCTTTGTTATCATTTTTCCATCCCCGTTGAATCAGAGCCACTATTTCTTTTCTCTGTCTCTCTCCCCGTTGAGTCAGAGCCACTATTTCTTTTCTCTGTCTCTTGCGACACAAGTCTGGGGTGATTTTTGCCTTTCAATATTTATTTGTGCAAAAATTCTTGCAGCTCCATGCAAGACACATAAAGATTTAATGGGTAATTATTTTAAGATATAACTTTCCTTTATCTCTTTTTTCTTTGCATTACTGTTGTGGCTGCCTTATAAATTTAGCCTGTATTATGTTCAGTGTCTTTTGCTGCTCATGGACCATAATAATAATAATAAACTAAACTAAACCTAGAATGAGCTGGAATTTTTAGCACGCATACATTACTGAAACAGCAACGTCTACGCTGGCTTGGGCATGTTGTGAGAATAGCTGATGGTCGGATTCCAAAAGATCTCCTGTATGGAGAATTAGTGCAGGGAAAGTGCCCCAGAGGGAGATACAAGGAGATCTGCAAGCAGGATCTGAAGGCCTTGAGAATGGACCTCAACAGATGGGAAGGCTTGACATCTGAGGCGTTCAGCCTGGAGGCAGGCGGTGCATCATGGCCTCTCCCAATTTGAAGAGACACTTCTCCAGCAGGCCGAGGCAAAGAGGAAGTCACAAAACCAGCAAAATTAGGTAGCTGGACAGGTGATAGATTGTATTTGTCCTCAGTGTGGAAGGGATTGTCACTCTCGAATTGGCCTTCTCAGCCACACTAGACGCTGTTCCAAGACCTCCATTCAGAGCATGTTACCATAGTCTCTCGAGACTGAAGGATGCCTACTACTAAACTAAACCTTTTAACATTAGTAGAAAAATGTTTTAAATACTTATTCAAGCCTCTTGGCACTCTCTGGTCTTGCCCTCCATTACATTAGTTGAAAAGATGAAGTAATTGTATTAGTCCTATGTGGATCTTCAGCCTTTAAACACCAACAGTGATGAGAAGATAAGACAGTGGACCTGGGCTTATCCGGTAAACCCACCGCATCCCATTTCTCAGCTTTGCAATTTCCCATATATATTGGGAGGGTGGAAAAAGTTCTGAATCCAAGAGTCTTCTATACACATCCTCTTCTCCCCACAATGTTGCAAAGGAGTCTCTACAAGCAACATCATGCCTTCCCTCGTAACATAAAATGGAGTTACAAGTCTGAATTGCTCTATGCTGTTAAGAGGATACATTATGAGAGATGGTCCTTCTTCTACCCAGATTACATACACACACATGCATCAATATAAATGTCACTCACCTTTCCCTTTTTCTCTTAATTTTGCATCTATACTCTACTAGGACATAAGATTGTCATTTCCCAGCTCCATAGTTCTTTACTGCTTTAAATTCCCCATAACTGATAAAGTCTACCTTTATCACTTGTCTCAGACAGTGAGTAAAAGAACAGGCAAGTTTGCTGACTCCTCGATCAATTTTCCCGGAGAACAGCACTTCAAGGACAAGGTTGACATGAAGATAGACAAGACCTGCTCTGAGGCTTAGAAGTACTCTCATTTGTTACCTTCTGTAGACAACAGCCTGAAGTACACTTTGTGCTTCCAAAGACTTGACTTTATGATATAATAGTGTTCATCCCTGAAAGTCTCCCATATATCAGTGATGAAAAGTTTCATAACTAAATGGGGGAACTCTCAAGAAGAATAGGGGAACACTCTCCAAGCTGAGGTTGTTGAGGGAGATTCACCCAAGCCTCCCAGGGAGTGGGATTACATGGTGAAGGAAGACCGCTGGACAGGGGAGCCCGTGGAGCTTAGAGTCCCTAAGGGAGAGGGACCCCAAGTATCAGTACTCTCATCTTCTTCCCTACCATCCTATCACTGAGGGGAGAGACACTCATGGTGGGGCCCTCCTTCATCTTACCATGCCACTGAAAAGAAACTAACTCCAACCCAGTTGTGGCACTGGAGGCAATAATGCCAGAAAGACTGTCTACACCACCTTCAGAAGAAGCAGCACCAGATGGAGACATCCCAGCACTCAGAGGGAAGCTCACTGACACAGTGTGTGTGCCTTGTCCTTGTTGAGGGCATACAGGATCTCGCTTCTCTGGGCCTCAAGTTTCAGAACCACTTGGTGGCCAACATTAAGGAAGACAGTAGACTCTTAACACCCTGCTGCATGGCATTAACTTGGGGGGAGAGGAGAACGAGAGATGGAAATGAACTGCTAGCTGATCTGTTCAATGCTGACTCCTCATCCCCTGATTCAATAATCCCTGCTGTTATTGACTTAGGTGTCAACTCCATGTATGGGAGGGTCAGCATGGCTCACAGCCGGGTTCTCTACTTCTGTGATGTATATTATAATGAAAGACAGGAACTGGCCCAGAGAAAAGAGGGAGTGACCCTACAATAGATCAGACTGTCCATCTACCTAAGTATTGTCTATTCTGACAAGCAGAACCTATCTGGGATCTCAGGCAAATGTATTTCCTATGAAATATATTTCATAGGAAGTTGCAGTTTTGCAACTTCCTATTCTTTAAGTTGCAGTTTTGAGGACAGAACCAAGAAGCTTCCTACAGCTATAATGGTCCTAACACAAGGTCAGGTATTGAGCATCATATATTCCAATCCAGGTACCTGTGTGTGTTAGATTCCATCAGGTCAGAACCTGTAAGAACCATAACAGAGCTTTCAAGGTAAGTGAAATATTCGTGTGTGTTAGATTCCATCAGGTCAGAATCTATAAGAATCATAATAGAGCTTTCAATATTTATGGAGTGGTTTTACAATGCTACCCCCCCCCAAACCGTGAGTTTCCATGGCATTCAAACCCAGGTCTCCTGGGTCCGTAATCCTCTCCACTATGCTACTTAGGTATCCGTAGCACAAGAAAGGTCGAAATGTGATTTTCTTCATACATGCAATCCCAGACACTTAATCATTCTCAAAATAATTTGCATTAAAATTGCTTTTGTTGTTGTAGTAACGGGGCATTTCAGCAAGAACGCTCTCATTTTTGTTTGGTTTCTGTCTTTCGCAGCTTCACCAGATTAAGAAAAAGTGGCTATTAAGGATAGGCGTTGTCACTCACATTGAATTCCAGCAGACCTTTCCAGGGAGGGTTTGCTATTTCTGTCCATTGCAATGAACACAGAGGTTTCTGACAACTGATAAACTTACAAGCTTAATTTGGTATGAGCTTTCACAGCCAGATGCGAGGGACACCGCCCCCCCCAGTCCACTACAATTTGTATTACATAAACTTGTTGGCCTTTTGAGTGCCACCTAATTCATTTTTTTATTATTTGTACCCTTCCTACCCCAGACCCCCCAGAGGATCTCAAGAGTATCAATCAGATCTCAACCGCCCAGTGTAGACCTTTGGTCTAGATGGGCAGGATACAAATCCAATAAATAAACAAATGAACAAACAAATAAAGGTTAGTTTGTTTCCATTCTCACAGGCTTAAGCAAAATGCTAGATGCAGGCTTTCTTTCCCTTCCTAAATGGCTATGTGCTGAACAGGTGCAAATACCATGGGACAGCTGGGACGCAGGGGCAAGTCAAGGCTGAGCCCTGAGGTGGGTGTCTGTCCGGCATTTCCACAATTATTCCCTTGTTAGTCCACCCTCCCGTTTAACCGAGACCCAGTCTTTCGCTTGACACAACTTTAGAGTTTTCATGGTGTGCTGCCAAGCGGCCTACAACTTTATGGCAATCCCATGACTGGGTGACCTCCAAAAGTCCTATCCTGAACTGCCAGAGTTGCAAGCTCAAGGCTGTGGCTTCTTTTAATGAGTCTGTCCACCCCTTCTTCAGTCCTCCTCTTTTCCTGTTGCCTTCAGCTTTTCCCAGCATTACTGTCTTCTCTCCTGACTCTTCCGTCACTTGCCTCGTGGGTTTTTCTTTGGTTTTGCTTCCAGGGGAGAATCCCAAGCTTGGTTGGGTCCAGAACCTACAACATAACTGGTCTTTCTAACCGTTCTCACTCCAAATAGGGGAGGCAGGAAACACATTCGACGCCTGCAAAATATCTGCCCAGGCCAGAAAGCCCGTTTCCCCGTGCCTGCGCCGAGAAGCGCCGCCCGTCCTTCCCTTCCCGAGGAGAAGTCTCGCCGGTGGCCGCCTCCCCAGAGGAGAACTTCCCCGCCGCCGGAGGGGCCAAAGAGGGAGGAGGAGGAGGAGGAGGAGAGCAAGTTCCTGGGCAGGGCTACCAGCTGGCCCGAGGCAGAGGCCAGCGCCTGCTCGCTCGCCCGGCCTCCGGAAGTCTCCTCGGGAGCCCAGCGCGTTGCAGGCAATGTTTGTTTGCCAGCTTCTCTCCTCCCGGGCAACATGGTGTTAGGTCATGGGGAAGAAGGAGGCAGCGCTTTCCATGAGGGCAACTGTGCGAGGAAGTGACTGAGCTGGTGGGGACCGAGCTCCGCCTGCTTCTCGGGCTGGGCTTGCCTCTCCATGCTGCTTCCTGCTGGGCCATGCGGCGTCTGAGAGCCCAAGCCGCCCGCTGCCTCCTCGGGAGAAGAGGCGCAGCCACTACCTCCT